AAAAGGTGACAAACCAAAAAAGTATATTTTTTCTGAAATTTAACAACAAAAATGGACATAGCTAAGTATTTTAAGGCAAATGAGTGCATTTTTAGTCATTTTTGAGAAACTTTTTTTTCCAGAGATTACTTCAGGAAATTATAGGTATAGTATTATACTGTGATTAAAAGGTGACAAACCAAAAAAGTATATTTTTTCTGAAATTTAACAACAAAAATGGACATAGCTAAGTATTTTAAGGGAAATTAGTGCATTTTTAGTCATTTTTGAGAAACTTTTTTTCCGGAAGATTACTTCAGGAAATTATAGGTATAGTAGAAACTTTAATTTTCTCAAAAAATTAAACAGACCTGTTTTGTTTTTTTACAAAGTAATCATGCCCTGATCTAGGGAATACAAATCCCTAGAGTAAATCAAAGACAGATACGTTTAGATGTTTTAAATACAAACAAGGTTTTGAACGACACCTGGGTCTGAGGGTTTTACTTGGTTGCTCACCTGAAGAGTAAGAGCTGCTCCAGCCTTGGGCCAGACCCAAAGAGTTGCCACCCCAAGTGGAGGAGTGCTTGGTGTTTGTGAGGCCTGGTGGAGGTCGAGAAGGAGCTGTGGTACTGCGGGGCCCTTGGGGGACCTTCCACAGCTCATGCGACAGAGAGGCTTGGCTCTGAGAGATGGGCCCTGGGGACCAGGTGGACTTCATATCAGAAAGTTTTCCTTTGCACAGAAGAGAGATGACAGATCAGAGGAAACACTAGATAATTAAAAAAAATAAAAACTGACAGTAATTAAAACCACTAAGCCACAAGCTGCTCATATCTTTCTCTTTAATTCCATTAGTTATAAAGTAATGAAACCCCAATTGTTAACAATAAAGGAAAGAAAGTGAACTACTTGTCATCGCAACACAGCACACCACTGCACAGACCCTTGTCCACTTCCTTAACCACTAAGCCACCACTGCACACAACCAAATGTGACCTCTGCTTTTAACCCATCACCAAAGTGAACAGTGGGCAGCTTTAAGCGCCCAGGAAGCAGTGTGTGGGGACAGTGCCATGCACAGAGCACCTCAGTGGTAACTTGGCAGCTGGTGGACTCAAACCTGAAGCCTTTCAGAACCAAGTCCACTTCCTTAACCACTAAGCCAGCACTGCCCCTCAGTCATAAATTATATGTGAGAATATTTGAATTAAATAAGTCACATCGTTTAGCAAAATCATGAAAGTGTTTACTGAAAGCTCATGTTCCCATGTAAAAAGTTCTAAGAGTGACAAAAGAGCAAAAGGGGTGCCAGGTTCAAATCCCTTTCATTTATTATTTCATTGTTTTATAATTTTCAGTGGTTCCACAGTGTAGCAGTTAGCATGCCTGTTCTTACCCCCATTTCTGTCTCTCAGCAGATATCGATTGACATCGTGAATGTTTGTGTTGATGGTGGGACCACTGGGGACACTGCCCGGGGTCATGTTAGGGTCATTTTCAGGGTCGATATTCTGAAGGCCCTTCCATGGCACACCTGGGCAGAATTCTAAGATAGGAAAAAACACTGAATGAGTAAAATAACAAACAAAATAACATCACCGATTCCAGAAACCACTTGTATCCAATTACACTAAATTACAGTATACACACAAACATACAAATATATACACACACATACATACATATATATATATATATATATATATATATATATATATATATATATATGTATATATATATATATATATATATATATGCATATATATATGCATATATATATATATATATATGTGCATATATATATATACACAGAAAAAATAATCATCTCCCTTCTTTTCTTTCACCTGGAGGCCAGTTGATGTTGGTCCCATTGGAGATCTTTTCGTTTGGGCTCTTGCCCTGACCCCAACTGTCAGGAGGTACCAGTGGGCTGGTGGGGGACTCAGAGCTGGATATAAGATTGTAAGGGCTGTACGAATCCTCGAGCTGAGGGGGCTTCCCTGGAGGGCCCAGCGTGGAGGCAGCAGAAATGGCACCTAACACACAAAGGGGACAAAATCAAACTTGGTTGGACTAAAAGTGAGAAAATTTCATTTCCAAGTGCAGTACATGGTTCAGGGAAATATAAAGGTATGAAGACATTCAGGGTAAAACTAAATGACAATCTCTCTTATAACACTGCTGTATGTGTCATGTACGCATGCATGCTTGTTAACGCTTGTCTCTGTTGTACCGTGCTTGTTGAGGTTATTCTCCATGTTGGAAGGGTTGCCAGAGTCCATGGAGTTGGAGTGTGTCCACTGGGACAGCCGGGATTGCGGCTGTGGGGGCTCCTTTAAGGACAAACCCCCAACTTCCATGCAGTTTACATTCATGTTTGGATTCAGTCCAGCTGCACACACACAAAGGCAACAAATTTCAATTTGATTCTTTAGATAAAATTTCATGTTTTTTAAAAATCACTTAAAAAAAGTAGATCCAAAAATTGAGTCAGGTTAAAATGCTTACAGAGAGGATAGGTGCTGTAGGTATTCGGTGAAGATGGCGGCTCTTTGGTGTGCAGTGTGTCAACGAGGCCCGGAGCCTGTGGTGGTCCAGTGAAAGGGTCCAGAGTTGATTTGCCGGAGCCAGGTCCCCCAGTAGGAACACCATGAGGGTGCAGACCAGAGGAGGAGGAAGTGGTTGAGGAATGAGTGGGAAGTTGCTGCTGCTTCATCAGCAGCGCCTGGTAGAGTTGACGCTGGTGCTGCTGGATCTGCTGCTGCATGTTGGTGATTGTACGTGCAACCTTTGGGTCAAAACAGATTACACAAAATATTTAGAAATAAGACAGAGGATTAAGCAAATAGAGAGGCTAAAGACAGAAAGATACACTACGGTAAACAACATGAGAAAATTACCATTGAAATTCTGATTTTCAATAAAGGCCTACAATTACATCATTTTTTTAAGAAAAGAGAACAAGCTGATGACTCATTTTGTCACACTCTTCCTGACTAACAGTGTGTGGTTTCCATATCTGGTTGTTGGGATCATGTGAGAACATTTGTTGGGAACATGCTGGGGCTCACGACACAATACAAATGACCAATGTGATCACACTTTAGATGATGCCTGTATTGACTCACTTGCTGCTCTTGTTGTCTAATGGGCCCGGAAACATTGCGCTGCGCCTGCATCATCTGCTGCTGGATTTGTAAACGCTGGTACGCCTTAAAAGATGGGAAAACAAAGAACTTTTAAAATCCAATTAAAAGAGAGATGTCATTGATTTCAATATAATAAAAGTAGTTTTAAATTTAAATGTTTAAATAAGATTTAAGACTGTAATATAAACAGTAAATGATGACTCACCATTTGCAGTTGCTGAAGTTGGTACAACAGGGTCATTTGTTGAGGGTTTATTGGTGAGGTTAAAAGTGCAGGATTCAGACCTATGTTTTTTGCTGCAAACTGCAAGAGCTGTGCTTGGACCTGAAGGCAAAGGAAGTAACATATTATAAAGATAATTAATAAAGAAAATCTATAATTTAAAATAACTAAAGAGTGCAAATACATTTAAACTTTAGTTTACACAATGGAAGTCAAAACTAATTTTAGAGCTAAAACACACTTCACTGCTCCTGTGGCTCCAGCAGAGGGCACTGTGTTTCTTCAATTCCACACACTAAGAGACAGAATTGCTTCTCGTCTTTTCATATTAGCACAAAAGCCAAAGAGCATTTTAGTGTGGACCAACAGGACACTAAGATTCAGCACAGTTGCAGTCTAAGTTTTGTTATTTCGTTCACTCGTGTGTCTACACATCTGAAAAATCTAATTTATTATCAGACACTCAACACATAACTCTGTGCTTTTGCTTGAGTGTTATGTAGGTAAACTTTCCAGAGAAATGTGTATGCATCTACCTGAGGGGAGAGAAACTGAGGCACTTGAGCACGTAGACTAGGCTGGGAGGAGCTGAGAGGTGGCACAGGTGGCTGAGGAGGCTGCTGCATGGCCCGGGTTTGTGCTGCTCCACTGCTGCTAAACATTCCACTGGGTATCTGTGAGCAAAGGAGTTATGAAGGCATAATAAATCTTCAAAACCTCCTTTAGTACTTAAAGAAAAAAAAGGGTTGACCGAGGCAGTGAACAGGAAGGCACCACACGCAAGAGTAAAATCTTGACCCTCTTACATCTAGTTGAGGTTTCATTTGTATAAAATTAGTTCTTTTTTGGCTGGAAGGATATGCTTTAGAAGTTCCTTTTGAGATACTTGAACCTCAAGTTGTAAATTAATGTGAAATAAAGAAGCCAATTGTTACATTTTATTCACTTTCAATCTTTGTCCCAAAACACTTAGTCTGTAAAAGGTTGCTCTGACCTCATACTGGATTTAATTTTACTAGAAAGAAAATCTCACCTCAGTCTCACCTCAGTTTCACCTCAGTTCTCTTCAAACAAAACCAAAATGTGTATAGTGCCTTTATTTGGGCTCAAGGGCACGTGCCAATTAAAGTTGCTTTCTGGGATGTGACTTCCTCTGCTGACAATATTTAACGCAAGTCTATCCAATTTAACTAAGTACTTCAACCAATGCTATACAGCTCAAAGTTAAATTATTAAATTGGTGGCTATATAACATATTCAAATGTTGGGCAAAGCCTTGAACGCAACTGTGACTTTGTCATACCTGTCTGTTGTTCAAGTTTTGCATGGTCATCCCCGGGTTGCCCTGTCCCAGGCCTTGCCCAGATAGGCTACTGTTGGCCAAGGGGAGCTTCAGGCTAGGGGAAGGCAGAAATGGTGATGGGGGGGCATCATCGGACAGCACATCCTGGAACAGCGCACATGAATAAAGATTATTAACATAACAAAGAGAACAAAGAGAAACAACTATCTATCAAGTAAAGGATATTTTTTCTCTGAAAATTAATGTATACACAAAACAGAAAAGAAGGTAAACATGGGCCAGTTACTAACTGATTACCTTGTCAAGAAAGGCGGCTCGGTCAGAGGGGTCTTTGGAGAGTGCTGAGGGTCGACACATCAAGGGCTTGTTCATGCCATTGCAGTAATCAGACATGCCCATACCTCGCTTGTCCAGGTCAGTTTTCTTCTCTAGCAGGGCACCTGGAGGCAGAACATGGATATTAAAAGTTAGCATTTTGTTGCATTTTTTTACATTCCTACATTTTTACCTAACATATCCACTGAGTCACAGCAGGGTGTTTATACACAGCTAAATCATGTTGAACTTACTCATGGCCTGGTCGAGGTTCATGTTGCTGCTTTTCAACGCCTCCTCAGCAGGGTCTCTCTGCAACACAGACACTTGTTAACTGTAGGCAGCTGTGTGCTCAGATAAATTGGTTCCTTTCATGCTTTGTTCCCTCAAAATAAAAGCCTTATGATAAAGGCACACTACATTAAAAAAATTAAAAACAACTAAGACGAAAAGTATCATGGGGCAAAAAAAAAATTGCCATCCTATGTTTGATTAACAATTTATTATCAATGTCAAAATATTTACCGGAAAGCCCATGTCTGTGAGCTGTTTGATGAGACGATTCATGATCCAGGCCTCGTCAGGCTTGTTGCTCATCTTCACCTAAAAACATACAAATAATTAAATATTTTAATGGACACCTTGTAAAAAGACAATGCCTATTATCAAGACAAACTGGTGTATTTTTGACTACAGTTCTAATACCTTGCTTGGGACCTTCTTGGGTCCATTTCCCCAAGAATTACATGAGGAGCTGCTCTCCTGGGAGGTGGGGCTGTTCCACATGTCCCCTTCTTCTGTGTCCCATTGGCTGGTAGACATTCCCATCTCCTCTCCGCCATTCCCCCAGCCATCTTGCATAGGTTTGGGGCCTTTATAGATGGGAAATAAAACATAATAAAATATGTAATTGTCTATTTTCACACCACAAAGTGTAGTTTTCAACCTGACCACTAGGTGCCACTATTGCTCTTTGACTTTTTTTTACTAACACACCCTTGTATTTTTCCAAGAGCACAAATAACCAGGACTTATTCAAGCATGGTATTGCTTTAATCCAAGAAACACAGACATTAAAAGACATCAAATGGCTCAAGAAGATTCTTTGAGAGTCTTTGTTCCACTTATTGGTGGTAATTAATTCATCTTTTACAAAAGTTGTCTGACAAATAGAACCACATTGAACCTGCTGCCAAATGTAATAATTATAGCAAGATTAAAGCTGAATTGCAGTAAATTAGGCAAGTGTCATCACTATGAAACCACCATACAGCTTTATGTAATGCTGTCTTAAGTATATTTTGGTGGATTATCTAGTGCATTAGAAGATAATAAAATGTTTGTGCATATTTGATGACCATGTTTTGCTGACGTTGTCGACATAGTGAACATGGATAACATTTGATCAGGAGTGGGCTCTACCTGGCTTGCAGGGTGCAGAACCTGGGGGTCCGTTGGCTCTACCATAGGATCCAGAGGACTCGTGGTTGCCATCTCCCCAACCTCCTACTCCTCCGGTAGGCTTGCCCCAGGCAGAAGTACCATTGTCCACTGTTGATGTTGGAGTTGCTGGCTCTCCCCAAGCAGGTTCGGACTTGGGCTGAACATTGGGAAGTTCTCCCCATCCTGAAGAAAACAGTCATTGTGTTTTAGTGTAGAAAAAAAAACAAAACATTTTCTTCATTTTTATTTGAGTATATAGTATTTTTAAATAGCATACAAGCACTGAACACTTTTTCTAAATATTCAATTGTCTGCTGCCCTCTTTAGTTTATCAGTGCAAATTAAAACTGCATACCTGGGTTAGCAATGGGTGTTCTTCCCTGGGGTCCAACACTGGGATGTGAGGCCACATTGTTGGGCGAACTGTTGTTGTTGTTCCCATGATGCTGCAGGTGAGTTGGGGTTTGGCCATGATGGGGGTGATGATGCACGTGGTGACTCTGGTGGTGATTGTTTGTAGGAATTACAGAGTGATTGTTGTTATTGTTGGGCATGATCATCCCGCCATTCTTACTATGAGGTGGGCCACCATTGCCAGTGGGATTGTTACGATCCCACATATTGACAGTCTTGTTGTAGGCATTTGGATCACCCCAAGTGGATGTCCCATCATCAATCTCCATCTTCCTTCGGACAGAGGGAGGTGAGGGCTCTTCCCATCCAGTGGGTTCCATGCTTTGGTCCTGTTTGCTCCCATTGCCCCAGCCAGAGGGGTTTTGTTTAACAGAAGCAGGACCCCCCCAAGAACCCATACTGCCACCTCCTCCACTGCCAGAACTACTGCTGCTGCTTTCCTGGGGCTTAGAAGACCCCCAGCTTCCTTGCACTGGGCCATTGGCGGATGAGGTTTCACCCCAGCTACTATTAGTACCAGTAGGTTTTCCCCAGCTTCCTCCTGTATTTCCTCCTCTAGGGCTTTCTTTCCATCCACCATTTCCGACATTTCCTTCTTCACTCTCCCACATGCTGCTAGAAGACCCAGTGTTCTTGACCTCTGGTTCTCCCCACTTTCCTGTGCCAGAGTTTTCATTACTGTTGCGCCAACCATGTGAACTTTGTGGGCCTTCTCCCCAGCTCCTGGGCTGGCTTTTCATCATGCCATCGTCCCAGCTAGTTGTCTTGTTCTCAGAACCCCAGGATGATGTGTTCCCACCTTTATGACCACTTGTAGGCAACGGGTCTCCCCAGCCACTTGTCGTGCCATTTGAGGCTTTACTTAGTGACTGTTGAGTGTCCCCCCACCCTGACCCAGTCTGAATTGGCTTAGGTGGAGGGGCGCCCCAACCAGAGGATGATGATTTGTCATTGTCGTTATTTCCCCCAGACCCAGGTCTCTGGCTGGACATATTGTTAGGATTAATAGTACCTCCGTTTGTTGATGGAGGTACACTATTACAGCTGGAGCCTCCCATGGTGTCTGTGCTGCTGTTGCTGTTGCTTTTCGCATCGTCAGAACTGGCTTCTTCCATTTCCCACACAGTGTGCTGACGAATAGGGGTTTGTCCCCAACCAGTGTTGCTCAGCACTCTCGGGTCCAGGTCCTGCCGAGGTAGCACAGGTGTATAATCCATGCTAGATGACCTGTCTCTGTGATGAGACCGGCCTTCACTGCTGTCACCACTACCTTCACTTGCAGGGGCTGTTCCAGGCTGCTGACCCCATGAGCCAAGTTGCTGCTCTTGGCCTGAACCTGAACTGCCAGCATCCACTGAGTCCCAGCCTTTAGGACCATCCCCACCAGCAGAAGGCTTTCCCCAATCTCCCCATCCACCACTTCCATTACTACCACCACCACCACTTCCTTGACGGCCCCAGGCAGCAAGGCCACCAGAAGAAGTTGAGTCCCAGCCCGAATCCTTGGGAGAGTCAATTCTCTTTGTTTCACTTCCACCCCATAATGAGCTGCTTGTTTCCCTATTCAGCTGGGATGATTCAGTGGGTGATTGGCCTCCCCAGCCAGTTAACCCATGGATGGGGCTCATCGGCTCTGGAGCTTGTTTAGCATGGTTTGGCCCATCTGAGTTAAGGTTAGCACATTCCATATTAAAGGACAAACTTGTCTTGCTCGATGAGTGTTGTTCATTTTCGTTGGGACTTCTCATACTACCCCAACCACCCCCAACATTATCTGAACTTCCGAGAGTCCCATTACCCATGTTTCCATTGCTGTTAATACCTGGTGGCAGAGAGGCAGAGTTAGACACTCCATTGGGACCAATGCCATTACCTTCGTGACCCAGAACTGGCCAGGCAGATGGGTTGGCATTAGGATTCAGGTTCAAGTTAAAACTGGGAGAGCCCCAATTATTCGGTGCACCTATTCTACCATTGATAGCATCTTGTTTGCTATCTGAGCCCCAGCCTCTATTAGCAACTAGTGTGTTGGCTGAACCAGGTCCTGTCATCATGTTATTGTTAGACTTGAGAGATGGGTAGTGGGCCTGCTGGCCTGTAGCACCTGTAGCCATACTCATGAATGTACCACTATTGGTGGTAGTGACAGCACAAGTGTGTAGGTTAGAGCTAGCTGAGCCCAAGGGGCATTCTGGTATAGACTGGCTTGTGTCACTATTGCCGCTGATTGAGGGCCAAGTGTCGTTGTCACTTTTGTCAATAATCACTTTGTCCCAACTGTTGGCACTGAAGGAGCTGTCAACAGGCAAAGAAGCTCCCCTGAGAGAGGTTTCATACTGGGCACCAGAGCCGTTCCGTGGGGATTTGTCTAATAAAAAAATGAGAGGAAAAGAGAGGTTGAGACAAGTGGTAAAACCTAGATATTTTTAAAAGATGTCTGCATTACAGCTTACACAAAACACAAGAAAATAAAACAGAAAGAAAAAAATCAGTTAGTTATATGAAGCAAAAAAAAAATAAGACAAGAGAAATGAGGCTGAAGGCAGGTGGATGATGATGGTAAAAACATTACTTAAGGTAGACTAGGCAATGTCATAAGTCCTGCAAACAAATGCCATTTGGTTGGTTAATGTCAGCTATCAGATTTGGCAGGATGAGATGGTCACACTTGGACACTCCACAATTCAGCACATCATTAGGATGCACAGCCAAGTGTGCAGTCTTTCATACAAGCTCTGACATATCCCTGACTGGCTGCGGTTTTTACTCCTTTACTTTTCAATGAAATTCTTTAACACATTTTTCTGACCTTAGATATTTTTATTCTCTACTTCCTCCTTTATTCCCTCCCTCTCTTTGTTTCCCCTTGCCTATACCACCTGCCCCCCTTAACTTCTCCCTCTCCATGCTAACACCCAGGAATGAGAGGCTCATCCGTCTCCATCGGGGTTTGCTGGCTAGGGCTGTGAAGGGAAGCCCAAGTGGAACAGCGGTCATTTATTGGAATGAAACCAAGACGGCTTCTCATCCATCACGCCTTACGCTCAGCAAGGCACACTCTTCCTACATCTGCACTGCACTAAGAAAGCACAAAACAATTCCTCTAACGGGTGTGAGTACATTTCATTGTGTACAAGTACAGGTCTGTTTTTCTTATATTAATTTACTAGCTGCAAAATTGTTATGCATTGAGTATAATCAACAAATTAATTTGATTCTAACAAAAACAAAGCTTTTCCAACAATTATCCAATCAGCACTGTATTGCACACAAGCAATTTCATTAGGGACCAAAGCCTCCCATTAGAAAGAGAACCAAGAATAGACTGCATTGATGCTGTAAAGGGGTATTCAATCAATGGGAGGCAGATAATCAATGGTCTTATTAATGGTAGTGGTTGGGAAAAGCGTAGCTATCGATCCAGCATGCAAACACCCTAACCACTGGGCAAGCTTCATACAACGATAAAAAACAAGAAAAAAGAAAATAAGAAAACAACATCCATGAATTTCGCCAGTAGAAAAGAAAATTAGTATTCAGTATGTGAAGGTAGATATGAACTAAATATTCAGTTTTAATGTGCATCAATAAACAAATGTGCAAAACTTGAAGTTGGACATTAATTGGAAATTAACACCATTGCAGAATTAATGATACTATAATAATAACATTGAGAAAAATATGTATTTATTTTACTACAAAAGATGGGTGTTTGTAGTAAAAGTCCCTCAAATCATTAGAATAATTTTAAAATTTAGCTTCAAGTTGCCCTTCATTCGACCACTGCGTCAAAACTGTTGTGCAGATTAAGACAAAAATTCTATTTGTTTTATTTAGGTAAAATACACACTCAAATACTGGCATGTGTGTGGCATATGCAACTGTCTCCTCAAAAACACTTATCTTCACTCCCCAGGCAGCCTTATCACACAGGGCTGTCAAACTGATGGCAAAAAAAGCACAGACACTAGTCTGCAGTGAAATTGCAATCAGTTATATACTAAAAAAAACATATTAAAGCTAAAATTATGTTTCACACCTGCTATGTTTGTAGCAATTCTTTTAGATGAAATGTTGGGATATTTTCGAAATCATCTAATGAAGGTCATTGTGGTATAATTTCACAAATACTTGGATACTAGGAATATGCATGCTCTAAAAACATACCAAAGGATTAGTTGCACTTCATTAGTAACATTTCGATTTTTGTTAGGATTACAAAAATAATTTACATTTTTCTTAACACGGGCAGTTATGGGTGAAATAACTTATAATAATCCTGTACATAAATTAAATATAAGTACTTGACTTTTCTTTTATCCATGCACAAAAAGAAAAAAAAAGATCTTAGCTAACCAAGACCTCTATTCAATTTAATAACTGCTTTTTATAGTTGGATTAAAAAAAATATGCCACGCCAAAAAAATAAAATCCAAAACCAGCCAGCTATTTTTTGTTATACTGGAATATGACGACTTGGCAATGACGCACGACTAGGAAAATAAATGTTTTTTTAAACGGCTAATAGTGCTAATTGGGGTGCAAACACAAGAAGCATAAAAAGACAGAAAATAGTAAAAAAAACTGTAATGAGTCAATCCACCTTGTCTTATCAGTACAGTGTGAATGGAAGCCAACATCGGAAAGTAGATGTTTTTATGTTGGTATAAATGTTTTGAAAATTTCAGTGCACTATTTATTACTATTTTAATATTCTACATTCATTCATCTGCATAAACATGCAAGTAAAAGCAAGCGGAAAAAGCACGATTACTACTAAGAACTTCAACGATGAAATTAGTAAACTTGAATATAACTTTCTAATACTAAGAAGTTTTTCTAGCAGAACTTACTACAGAACAGTATAATTAAACAACAGCAATTCAGCTGTTCAGCAAAGGCAATCCAGCTTAGCAGAATTAAAGACGCAAACAAGAGATGAGCCAATAATGAGACAGGCTACATCATAAAAATGGGCAGGTAGCCAGGAATTAAATATCTCATCTTCCTTTTTAATGGAAATGAAAGGCAGGGAGGCAGAACCACATGAGGAAGAGGAGATGGGGGTTGAATATGGAAAGTGTTGGGGGTAGATGGCAAAAGTCTAGAGGGATGGTCTAGTACTTGCAGAGGCAACAGCAAAAAAAAAAAAAGAAAAAGAATGAATGTCGAGGAACAAAAAATAATAGATTAATTGGTCTGGCCAATCCTAGTTCTCAGTTAAAATTATGGGATCACAAAACAGAAAAAAAGGAGGGCACTTAGTGGTCTTTTGTCACTAAATAAGCCCCAGCTCCATCTCTCCATGAACCGTGCTTTAACCCCCGTTATATCAAAAAAAGGGTATGTACTTGTTTTCCCTGAAAGGAATAACAAAAAAAGAAAGACCTGGGGAATGGTCATAGCAGGGTTTATAAAGCTCATCGCTCATGTCTGTTTACCTGTATGAGGAAAAGGGGGGAGCAAGAGAGAGAGAGAGAAAGAGAGAGAAAATAGGAGAGCAAGACTCTGGTGACTCTAGTTTCTCTGACAAAGCCAGGATTAATGAAGCCACTGGGGATTCTTTCCCTCGTGTGCCAAGATTGTATGCGAGTCACAGCCAGAACACAAGCAGCAATCAATACCTTCCGACTTCCTCGCAGTTCATGGGTGTTGAGATTATATGAAGAAAAATATAAACACCCATTTTCGATGAGATGTTTCTTCAAACATTTTGAATTATGTAACTATTTACACCTGTCCTGTGTTACTTAAATAAGCGATGCACACATCTGTTCTGTTGGTACTGTTCACTTAAACATCTGTGGCTCTAGTATCACTGCATAGACACTATAGAGTAAGTGAATGCCACAACAATAACTACGTCTGACCAAAAACACAAAGACCATTAGAAGCATCCACACCAATATGACTATTGAGGGTGTTGCTTTTGTCAAAGGGGTTAAACCAGGGCTTTCTACAACCACAACCAACCACACATTTTGTATGCTCCTTTAACAATGTATACTAAACACACGACTGCTCTACCTTCCCTTAAAAAAAAGAAAGAAAGTGTTTACCAGCACCCAGCAGAGTGCCGTCTGGCTACATGCTCTGTCTGGGTGACTGACAAACAGCTGTTGGGCTGCAGTTCCCACAGTTTTTAAGAGACCCCCACTACAGCACCTGCTACTGGGGAGACTGTCTGAAAGGCTGCTGGCTGCTCTAGACTACTTAATAGTTCCCAGTCAGCTGGGGAAATAGGGATAGTGGGTGCAGTGAAGGGAGGGAGAGGAGATGGGGGAGGGGAGGTCGCAGTGAATAAGGGACCTTTTTTGGGGGAAACGCTATTTTATACTTGGCTAAAAAACAAGACAGATATAAAAACATGCATGACTGCAGTGTATGGTGTTTTTGTATCTGTGTCCATACATGCTGTGACAAAGCTGGTCCTGGGAGATAGATATGAGACGACAGAACTAGGTCAGTTTCTGACTGCTATTTCAAACACATATACTGTGTGGTTTTGTGTACACATATACATAAAAGAAATAAAATGGTACTGGATTAATTTTACATTATTTAGGTGCAATTTAATCAGATTTTTTATTTTTAAATTGACTTTTAAAGTTTTACTTTGGTTCATTGTTGACACAACCATTCAACCATTGATCCGCTGTTGCTAACAACACAGCTACTTGAAATGAGCAGCTTACAAGAGGTTAGCAGACATACTGTAAGCCAAAGCAGGGCGTAGATGGGATTGCCTCAGAATTACTTGAACAATGCAGCATCCTGTTATATAAACAAAGTACTACAAAGTACTACAGTACATCGCCTTCCTTAAAGAAACAATGTAATTTTCTAGTGTGAGCTTAAGTCTTAATTTCTATGATTATTGTTTATCACAGCCTTACGAGTAACAAACTTAAGCTTTATGAAAATAATACATTGCTGTGGTAACAATGATTTTAATGTATAATGTTATGTATGCATGAGAAAAGACAGACAATAATGATGGAGGGTTGTTTTTTATCCATACTGACACAAACCTGCAAGTTTGGCCGCAGTGGATGTGGCAGAGCTTGGGGAAGTGCTGCTGGTACTTGTAGAATAAGAATAGTAAGATGAGGAGGAAAAGGAGGAGGAGGAGGAGGAGGAGGGGGAGGAGAGAGTCAGAGCACTGAGGGCTCCTACAGGAAGTGGCTGGCCTCTCTTCAGTAGCTGCTTGTGCTCCTGCTGGCGAAAGCGCGGAGGCACCTCTCTGGGTGGGTAGCGAGCACTGGCAGAAGACAACTGGCACTGCTGCTGCTGAGAGGGAGTCTGAGTCTGGAGCTGGCTACAGGAGGAGGCGCTCTTGCCATTGCCAGAAGAAGAAGAGGAGAAGGAAGAAGAGGAGGAGAGGGGCAGCGTGGTGCTGGCAGGGCCAAGGTGGTGGGGTGAGCCGGGGCTGGGCTTAGAGGGAGCAGCCTCTGGCACTGAATCAACATAATACACAGGCACACAAGCAAGCATAGCAAGGCATTAATGACTAGGATAACTGACTGGAGGCACTGCTAACATTACATGCAGTAAGACTGTGGCATGCCTTTGCGCCTTTCACTTCTAAAATGAGTTGGGGTTTTTTAATAGTGTTTGTGTTGCTCTGTATAGACTCCCTGCAGTGCGTTTTACAGTGGACTATCCCTTTAACTAAACTGCCTTAGAAAGTATGCCGTAGAACATATGTTAGAGCCACAGACGCACAGTGTGAAAAGGTCATATTTTTTCTGCTGACTGAACACAGACACACAAACACACGGAGAGGCTTTCCTCTTCATTACTCTTTTCTTTCATTCCTCTCTCCCTCCCTCCCTCACTTTCACACAAACACACTGAATTAATTGCACATGGCATATTAGAATGACTCGCATTCGTTCCCTCATCCTGAAAAATCTGCCTGTTGGAGGACCAGCGACCCCGGAGTTGGTGTTAATTCCAAAGACAATGCCTGTTGTGACCACCCAGGCATTTAATTAAGTGTTGACCAGCGAGTTGTTCTTACTATAGGACCTGGATTCATTAGAGGGAGGTTTAGGAAAAAAGGGAAGTTATTTAAATGTTTTGTGGGAATAGTTGTGGTAAAAACAAAATAAAGGGAAATATTTAGCCTATATAATATTAAGTCTTTTGATCTTTGTACTGTGATACTGTGGTTTTCACTTTGCGTTTCAGGTTGATTAAAAAAAGTAAAACATTTTACTTTACAAATTTCAGGTTGACATTAAAAAAAAGTAAAACATTTTACTTTACAATTTAACACTAAATACAGCCTCATCCAAAAGCAGACGGCCTCCACTCTTTTGAGAAGACTTTATTTATCAGATTTTATAAAGAGTCTGAGTATTTGGCAGGTCATAGAGAAAAAAAATCTGACATTGTAAATGTCAGATTCTCGACAAAAGCGTCTGGGTATCAATTTTCTTTCTAGTTCTCCATGATGTTGAGGGCTAAGGTCACTGCATTAGCCACTCAGGTTTTCAATTATTACCATTGAGAGACGATTACGTCAGACTCTAAATATACCACATCTATTTTCTCTGTATCTAAACACTATACAGTGTCTGATGGAATTCATCTCAGACCACATCACATGGTCCCAGGGAGGTAAAAACACATTTTCTGTTGTATGGGCACCATGTATTATATAAAGCTCACAGGAAATCAATAAATGTTTTAGTATAGAGTTAAAGAGAGTTTCGGAGTACAAAAATAATTATATTTAATACCAGTAAATCATAATCAAGAAAAACATTTATTTTCCCATCTGGCCTGTATTAAATGTGGCAGTTTTTTGGTGACAACTGCTCAAGGGACAAAAGTTTTAGGGAAGGTATAAACGACAAAATGCAGACATATTAAGAAATTAAGATTAAATGCAGGAAACATTTATGAATTTCAACAATGAAATGTGAGTTGCTACGCTGAATGATTGAATCAGAACCATCACCTGAAAAAAAATTGGGGTGTAGTTGAAAAGGCAAGCGACTGGTAGATGTGTTGTATCAAGAGCACTTAATTCAATTAAGTGCTTGAACTAAGGCACAGTGTGCAAGCTCGGGAACTTTAATTACAGCCCTCACACTAAATGGTTAATTACATAAAATGAGGAAGAGACGGTGTAAGCGAAGACGGAGACAGAAATAGCTCAAAAATAAAGAACAGATGATTGTTGCTGGTAATCAGACAGGACATTCAAAAGGTAATGCACAAAGAGAAATCGGATTTGAGTTTTTAGAAAAACACTGAAAAGGGTTCATTTATTAGAGAGAACAAATGTTTTTGGTTCCCTAAACCCAGTGCCAGGCTGTGCAGGGTTGTTCTAGCTATTGTCCAAAGAGTCACTTTATAATGCAGAATTGTTTTAGAGCCAGGGAAGAACATAACACCGAGGCTAATACAACAGTCACAATCATATATTTTTTAATACTGTAGGATCTTTATTAAATAAAAGTAAATTTAGACCTTAAATTGAATATATCTAATCAAAACATTAACACATACTGTTTATTTAACAGCTTTCTTAAGCTCTATTTTTTATTAATATTTTTTAAAGTTAATATAAAGCAAATATAATATGAAGGCACAAACAACCACATTTCCTTGTTGTTTTGGCACGATAACCAAGCGGTACAAGCATGTGATAATAACAACACAACGGAGGATCAAGAGGGTGTGTCTCAATCAAGTCCCATCTGTCTGTTTGAGTGGAGAAAACAGAAAACTCCTTCAGTCACACATGGCATTAAAAGCCAGATTTCTCACCCCTCACCCTTCATATAACAGGACGTTTCTATAGAGACAGTCGCTGAACGCACCTCCGACCGCCTCTCATGACCGCCTGTGCCTCCTGTGACCTCGTCCCACACCACGCCTCCTTGAACCTCTCTCTCTAATTAATGCCCCCGCCCCCAATGCCGTGTCCCCCCCTGCTCTCCTTCTGAGCCCAAACGTTCATATTACCTATGGCTGCTGCAAAACCAGTCTGTCTGCACTATGACCAACTTGCCTTGGAAAACCATTCAAGTTTGAGAATTACAAGGGAATATTGTAGTCTGAAACCTTACTGCACACTAACCTAGGCTGGACAAAACCAAAGGGATGACATCTGTCTGAGAATAGATGTTTTATAAGGTTTCAACATTTGATTTGGTGTGTGTGACTTGTAAAAATCCTTGACCTTGGTCATGGACTGTTTCAGATTGTGTTCGTTTTATGTTTACATTTATTAGATGCCAACCAGTCCCTGCTTTAAGGAGGAGAAAGACCTTGAGTCCTTAGACATCCTGACTTTACCTATGCAAATGCAGGGCGCTGACTGTTATCCCCCATGGTATAAATTGGAACCTTGCTATTGTGCTTCAAGGTTTTCCGTCTGCCTTTGAGATATACAGGCAAAGAGATTTATGTTTCAGAAACAAATAACAAGAATATAATTTAAAGTATCTAAACAAGGGCAAGTGGGGCACACCAGGCGTTTTTCCCCTTGATATCAGAGTACATAAAAAAATACTACGTATAAGATGTTTGGTTTTTTTATCTTTGTTGTATTAACACAATTTCACAAAAGCTTGTGTGCCAGGAGTGTACACAGTGATAAAGGCACTCTGTGAAACCAATTTATACTCACATTCTGCAACCATTTTGCCCACAAATTGACGGCTGAACCGTCATTCCTCTCAGTTGAGCCACGTCCTATTAATCAGCCTGATATTTGACATAAAGCAGCTCATTGTTGGGGGAGGAGATGATGGGGGAGGGGCACAATGCAGTGAATACACTCTTGTGAGCAGCATGTGAGCGATCAAACAGAGAGGAAGGCATTGTTTAAGTTTTTTTTTTCTTTGTCTCTCTTCCCCTGATCTTTCACAGTCTCTCGTTCTTATCTTAACATTTGACACTGGCAGCTGAGCAAACACTGAGGTAGAGGAAAAAACAATTACGCTCAGTGGTCATAAATCCACAGGACATAACTCTCTATTAATTCAATGCGTGTTTGTAAATGTGGTTAACAGAAGAGAAAAGCTGGGCAAATGGTTAAGTAAATTAGCATATAATTATACAGACATAGGTGGATCTCTATATGAAATGGGTGGGCACAATTAAAATTTCAAATTAATCTCACAGAAAGTACACAACACACTAGTGTTTGTACGTACTGTATATCCTGTTACAATTGTTGTGATACCATGCAAATATATTTATCCTTAGCAGCTATTCTCTGGGGTCAAGCACTGTATATTAAAGGTAAAATGAAGGTGCCCAGAGAATAACAGGAACAGAGGAGAATGAAGGACCAGGCAGCGCCAGGCATTATTCCTTCAATTTTCCTGCATTAGAAAGTGTATGTGTGGCATAACTGGGAAATTACATTGTCAAATAATCATGATGTGGAAATAATGCAGATACGTTGGTCACATTCTCTCATCATTTTAATAATATGGCTGTGTTTATATCTAATTCTGTTTATAGCCACCATGTAAACTGCTGCTCCAAGTCTTACTGATTTTAAAAAGGCTCCAGGTCAACAAAGGTACAGAGGTGCAGGCATAGGTTTTCATTAACATGAATGATGTAGGACCTCAAACTCTGCAGATTTACTAATATGTACACTTTGAACACACACACACACACACTACTTTTGTTCTTGTCAAAGCTGGTAGCTGTGTGCAGTAATCAAGCTGACTGATTATGATTGCAGTGCTGGTAATTGTGATGAAGCTGCCTGCGTGCTAGCAGTGAATAATCAGCAACCCTCTGAGGTAATGGGGACAGCAGAGATAGGGTCCTGGTTTAAAGGTCCAGGTTTGTATATATATATATATTTATACACACACATATATATGCATGAGCGTGTGGGTGTCTGTGTGTGAGGGCAGTGACACACTGTGTCGTGAAAACCCTATGTTTAGTGAAGCTCCATGCCTAATGGGGGGCAGAGAAGTTAATTCCACTGCACCAAGGCTTTATCTCATTTTCATACATATGAATGCACCAGGCCCAGATCGATTACTGCAAACAAATTGAAATGCCTGGGACCATGGAGGCCCACGGAGAGAAAGGCAGCAAAGAGATGGGAGAGATGAGGGGGAGGGCTGTGCATGTGTATGTCTATGAATTTTTGACAGTGTATGAGGAAGGCAAAATTCACTGATATGCATGGAAAGAAACAAATCACTAGTGCATACAGAATTTATCCCGTGCTGCACACACACACGTGCCCAGACTATTATTTAGTGTCACGCATGAAAACTCAAATCATTCCAGTTCATGCCACCATCCTTTTAAAAATATTGCAGATGGGATGCTTTGAGCAAACAGAGCTCTCAATGACTCACAAAGCAATTACTTCCTAAATAGGGCCCCTTACAATTTACTTACTTTTTAAATCTTTCCATCTGCACGGTTATTAGTTACAATCAGTCATATATAAATACAGTTTTTTTTCTTACAAAGTAGCACACAATGAGTACTTTTTAAAGTAAGCACTGTCTGTAAATCACCTATTTGAAAGGCAACGACAAAAATGGGCTGCCAATGTAAATAATCCTATCGACAACAAATGATCCAACTGTCTCTCTCTCATGTTCTCCAGTTCTCCAGTTATGCTGTTTATTCTCTCCACACGGTGTGAGACATTGTTACAGCAGAACTGTTTAATAAAGAATGAACGAGTTACAAGTGTTTTATCTGAGAAAATTCATTTCTGTCAAGTGAAGTGACATGTAGTTTTTAATTTACCTCACAAGTTTTGCAATTTTTTGTAGTTGCACTACAATTGCACTCAAATGCAGGAAACGGTGTGATTTTAAGTCAGACATCCTTTTTCAACCAGAATAAAAAAATAATACTTTACTGACTTCTTGGGGAAAATAGTGTTACAGCTGTTGCTGCATCAGAAAAAAGGAAAAAAGTATTATGGAGTGTTATTTAGAGTAGAATATTTAAAAAAACAAAAATAAAAAACAGACTAATATTTAAATGTTCTTAATAAAATGGGTGGGAAATAAATAAATAGTTTCTCTAATAAATTACATTTGTCTCTTGAACGATTGATTTGGAAAAATCCTTTATAGATGGCAAAACAACTCAACCTGATTGGTTGCTTTTTCTCACTTAACACGGACTTATGTTTGTGTCATTTAAAAATAAAACACGCAGAAGTGTCATGAAAATATACTTTTAAAAAGTCTGTACTGAATTATTTGCTCAGTCAAGGTTTCCCTGAATAAAGAACGGAAATGTATCAACAAAATAGTATCATAATCATTTTTCTATAGGTTATATTATCAGGGAACCAAAACACAAGCAAATCAAACTCAAACACTGGGATTACAGAAACGCCTACTCTGCGCTTTGTTAATGTCCCTGTGTGAAAGACAAACACGTTTTTGTTACTTTGTTGCAACGTTTAAAAAAATAAAAGAGCAACCAAGGTCACTCCAGGACGGAATTTTTTTTCTGCTCTATTCAGATTAACTCATTGCCCTCCATTTATTCTTTTATTCTTCTCCTTTTCACTGCTACCCCCACCCCCATCCTCCCATCCCCCTAATACCACCACACTCGGAGTTCTGTCTGGGTTCCCTCACGCTTCAGCGCCTGGTGCTGCAGGGCACACTGGGCATCAGTTCACATCATTGTCACTCTCTGTGAATGTGGATCTGCTATGTATGTGCACATAGATTATCGAATCTTTAACACTTAGCTATACAGCAACATTTTCCATGCATAAGCAATCTATACATTTGTGTACTGGAACACAAAATGTTCTGTGTTTCTCATGCAAGATAAATGTGTACATCAGACCGGATTTCATATAGTTTTGGAAAAGAAGAGGTTGAACGAAGTTTGTTCATAACACATACCTTTGGGTTTCAGATCAGCAGCCTGCAGAATGAAACAAAGAAAAATACATTTTAAAATCAAACACTTTTTTAAAACACACTTTAAAAAAGAAAAAAAAATTGGATATTGGTCAGTGGATATGAACAACCAAAACAAAGACTAAGCAAAGACTAGATTATATTAAAACATAATAAGAACACTGGTTAGCACTGTGCCCATTCCACTAAGCTAGTCTGGAATTAAAAAGCATGTTAATAACCACCTTTTTCTGAGCAATGTCCTTCTTAATCTTTTCTTCTTGTTTTTTCTTTTTCTTTTCTTCCATCAAATGGTTCTCCTCCTGCTGCTGTTCGCTTCTCTCAGCTGCCAAACAGACAAGACAAAAAGTACTTAGTGAAACGTGAAGGTAAAAAAATACATCATATTAACACAAACCAGCACTCCTGAGTATTGTGTGTATATTTATTTCAAAGTTCTAAGATGAACAACTTTGCATGCTGAAAGGTAGAAGGCATTAACACTTGTGCTAATGATATTCTTTCCCCGTAATGCTTGGATTAAATTATCTGGACAAACTGTCCTTTACTTTTCCTTTTGGCTTATCTACTCAAACACCACCACTGGAAAGTGGCAGATGCATCTGAAATGAAACAATGACTAACTTGAAATTCAAGAATTAGATCTTACCAACCGCCTCTTAATATGCAAACAATATTGATTATGTCTTTGCAGGTCTAATATATATAGGGATGTTTTGTGTTGGTCTGTCTGTGACAGACAGGGACTTGGATAAATGTTTATGAAGTCGTTGTGTTTAGTCCTTATATAAAAAAACAACCCATGTGCATACATTGAAAATACATAAACGCCTTGGATATGAATCAGAACATGAATGGTCAAATGAATCATAAGTGAGAATTAATGAATCCCCCCCATCTCTGCCCACTATAACTAGGAAGGAGCCGTCAGTCAAACTGACAGATGAAGACTTATGGAGCCTGTATGGTGGTGTCATCTTTTCAGTACTACCAGAGAGAAGAAGAAAGAGTGAGAAGACAAAGTACAGGCAAAAAAATATAGAAAGTACTGATTTAACGATGATCCCAGTAGTGTTTCAGAACAGAGGTGAGAAGACATTTCTAGACCCCTGATCCTAGTGCTGCCAATCTCTTCCCCATTCTTCTTTCTCACTCCTTTGGTTGCCTCATCTTTCCATTTACCTTTAATATCAACACATTATGGCATTTACACAATTCTATGTTTCATATTGCGCTGTCTCAGCAGCAGCTTACAGCCCTTGGGTAATTTAACAGTTAAGTATATGTGTACATGTGTGACTCTATGCATACAAACAATAGTATACTGAACGTGTGGACTGCTAAGTGTAATGAGTTGTTGCCATTAACATCAGTCTCCAACCAAACACAGCAGTTTGTCAAAATCCAAGTTTATCTTTAAAATATTAGCACAACATAAC